GCGCAGTGTAACGCTGTGTTAAATGGGGTAAGCTGATAGTCGCTCAGTTGCCCTGAGCACAGGTCTTTCAGGGGAGTGCAGCTTCTCTACCTTGAGGCCTTAAGAGAGCCCTAGACCAGTCCAGGAAGGCAGCATGGGAGGCCCTGGCCAGGAGCACTGGGGACTGAGGTAGAGTACAGGAATCAGCTCTAGTCAGCAGCAATCAACTGTCCGGGTGTTGGCACAATGACAGCCACAGGCAATGCTAGTCCAGGATATTTAGCACAGAGGGGACACGAGGGGCTAAGTGAAGACACGGTCCCCTGCTCCTGCAGTGACACCTAGCTGTCTCGTGTAGGGCTCACATTCACTCACCGAGAAGATGGACTGCCCCTTGGCCTCCCTGTGGCTTGCCTCCTCATGCTCCTCCTCAAGCTAGGCCCTCCCTTGCAAGATCCTTTCCCTGTGCCAAAGGGTAGGATGCAGACCTGAGGGCCTGGCCCTTCAGAAGCTGCAACCCAAGAACACAATGGCAGCAAGACTTCAGCTCCTAGCAGCACACATCCACCTCCCTCCTACCGACAAAAACTGGGGGCCGCATCAGCCTTGACTGTGACCTCAGGGCCAGCTTGTCAGTCAGTGTGTACAGTAAGCCAACCTCCCCGCAGACTTACACTCCAGGAAAGACCCACCACACAGCAGGACCAGGCAAGCACTCTTCCAAACCAGCCTGGACACAAAAATGACCATGCCCTAGAGCCCCAGGTGCCACTGGAATATCATGGCCACCTCCAATAGCAAACACCAACTGCATGCAACAATGAACTAGGCACTATATAAGCTAACACTCTTGATGACCTACAGGACAAGGCCTGGGGACATGGGCTGCAGAGCTGGTCAACTCAGAGGTCAGCATGACAAACAAGATGCCTTTTGTTGCCCTGGCTGATCTACAAAGGAGACAAGATCTGAACTGCCATCCCTAAAATGCTGTGGTGGACAAGGACAGTAACACATGGAGGAAGTGCTCAAAAGTCAGGCCCAGACAGGTCCGTCCACTCAGTGAGAGCAGAGCCAGCCTCCCTACCGACAGGCCGGACCCGGAAGTACCTATAATACACGTGTGCACATAGAAAAGAACACAGCACGGTGGCCTCTCTCCTCTCAGCAGACACACACTGCCAGTTAGTGTCTGAGAAACTCCCCTTCACTGTCTGTCACTACCCAGGCCACCCTTCTTAAAACAAGGGACGAGTATCACTTTGGTTTAGCAGAGAGGTTATGGTCCCACACTTCCAGTTTCCCAAAACATCCTCCCAGAGAAGTGGGAGGGATGTAGGAGGAATGGCGGGGGGGGGGGGATCCTCCCTGCCAGACTTGACCAATCATAATACAGTGTTCAGCTCAACGGCTACAGCATGGCCAGGCCAGCTTTCTGCCAATACCACAGTGTGAGGAAGGTGACCAGGTAGCCACTGGGAACAATCCCACCCATGTTGCTCCAAGACCTGGATCCACAATTCCATGAGCAACTTCTGCCGGGCTGCATGGAGAACGGTAGTGCTGTTCTTGAAGAAGCAATTGCCGCCCTCAAGGGTCAAGGGGTTACCCAGGATCCAGGGCTTCTCATGGACTACAATCTTTGAGAAACCGCTCAACTCAGCTAGGCATAGAGGTACAAGCCTATAATCCTAGCACTTGGAAGGTGGAGGCAGGAGAATTAGGAGTTCAAGGTCATCTTCAGCTACATAGTGAGGTTGAGGCAGGCCTAGCCTACCTGAAACCCTGTCTCAGAAAACCAATAATAACAACAAATATCCCTACTTGAGCAGAGCGGTGGTGGCGCATGCCTTTAATCCCAGCACTCGGGAGGCAGAGGCAGGCGGATCTCTGTGAGTTCGAGGCCTGCCTGGTCTACAAATCGAGTTCCAGGAAAGGCGCAAAGCTACACAGAAAAACCCTCTGGGGGGGTGGGGGACGACGACATGGGACGGGACCCTACTTGAGCTGTTGAGATGGCCCAGCAGGTAAGGGTGCTTGCCACCAAGCTGACAGTCAGAGTTCAACCAAAACCCATTTAGCAGGAGAGACACATAGTCTCATAAGTTGTCCTCTAATCACCATATGGGAGCTGTGGCACAGGAATGAGCACGTGCGTGCGTGAGACCCTGTCTTGAAACAACAACAAATTAGCTGACCTGACCCTCTCTTCTCATACCAGCAGGGGCTCATCAAGCTGCTCAAGAAGTCACTTCTGTATACTCAGAGGGACCCAAAAGGCTGTGAGGCTTTAGCCTGACTTATTCTGAAGACCATGCTCACTTTTTCACCCGGGCAGTAGACCCTGCCTCCAGGAATCTATGCCCAACCCAGGTGCCACCCAGGAGGACACCAGTCAGACTCTAGTTTCTGTTGCCTGTGCATTGTGGGGGTGGGGGTTTTCTTTGCCTACGGCTCCCCTTCTCTGCAGGGCCCAAAGGCCTGCGGATAAGCTCCTGGTGAACGTCATGAAGCTGTCCTGTTTTTCTTGCCTTCATCTTTCATGAAATTCCCCGAGGACACAGCTCCCAAGGGAACTGAGCCACCAGGAAAGAGGTCAAAGACTGCGTTCTTCCAGGAGGAAAATCAAAACTGTACATTTTATTCTTGAATTCTTAATCAGCAGGGCCAAGGACAAGCATTTTTCTTTGCCAAGGCAAACAGCACTCAGAACTGCAGCTGAAGTGATGCAAGGGCCAAAGCAAACAGCGGAGCTGCATGGCGGGTGACACTGAACAGAGCCACAGCCCAGCCTTCCCAAGAGGTACAGCCCCTAGTAGGGAGTCAGCCACCACATGTCCCAGGAGAAGACAACATGGCAGACTGGCTGCGCCAGCCTCGAGCTGCACACTGGTGGCTCTGGCTCTCCCCTGATTGTGCCTCTGTGTGGGCTGGGTATCTCTTGGCCCACATGCCAAGGCTGCCCGACCTGTACTAGCGCCACCACACACTGTGGACTCCTTAGTGACAAAATACAAAATGAGAACTGAGCACAGGAGTCAAAGACTCAGTTCTTAGGCCCCCAGAGGGTACAAGCGCCCCCTGCCTACACTGCAGGAAAGTCCTTCAGACATCTGCAGCCTACCTGTGTCCAACACCTCAAAAGCTGACGAAGATCTCATCACCACACGTTCACCCGGAGGAAGCGCCAACCACTGCCCCAAACAGTAAACGACCCACATGGAGTCCACCGTGGGCCCCCAGCCTGCTGGCCTGCAGCCGCTGCTGGACGGCCCCAAGTGCCAAGAGTTTTTCTGCCACTGACAGAGCTCTGACTTTGGACATGCAGATGAGTTACAGCAGCATGTGGGTGAAGCCTGGAGCTGTAAGTGCAGGCTGACTGCCCAGGCATGAGCTTTATTAAGGAGGACTGTGGGATTCTCCAGAGCAAAAGCTACTCCTCACACCCTGCATGATTCTCGACAGGGAAGTTCCTGTTTAATGGTTTCAGTGAAGAAGCAGGAAAAATGGGGAAGTTTGGAAAGACTGTGACCATTACGTCTCTCCCATCCCCTGCAGTAAGGAGCAAACTGTAATGGAACTAATGACTAATAATTTAATAAACCTCCCTCCCCTGACAGCATGTGCTTCCACAGAACAACAGGAGGGAAACGTACACCATGGAGTCCATGGACGGGAAACATAAAAACCTAAAGGCTGTTCCGAATCCTGCTTGCCGGCAGCTCGGACATGGCTGGGGAGCTCCTTCAGCCCCTCCACCCACCTTCAGGATTCCTCCAGACCCAGGTAACTACAACTTTAAAGCCTTTATTAAACAATGAATTAAAGTATAATCTGCCCCCTGGACTCCAGCTGAAACCTAAGGGCCACCCTAGAAGCTTCCATCTGCTGCCGGCAGCGGAGTGAGCACAGCAAGAAGGTTTCACAAGCCACTGCCTAGAAAGGCGCAGCCATGGTTGGTTCATACAAACAGAAACTGTTGCTCTAGAGAGAGCACAATCTCGTTCAGCCGTGAACCAGCAAGTCCGTGTAAAAAACCAGTGACTCTAATCACAAGCCTTTTCCTTAACCTTCAGACACAGTTTTGAAATAAAGCATAGCTTTGTAAAGAGGACTGCCATGGACCGGTCAGGGCAGGGATTTCTCTCTTGAGAAAAAAAAAAAATGTCACTGGGAACTGCAGTGGGCCTGGTGCCATCAGGGAGCCCCAGGCTGTGTCACTGGAGGTGGGGGCCAGGACTACGAGAACCCATCCTGAAGACACGGGGAATGCCCGTCCATCTGTACCCAAGGCACAGACATGACATGACAGCAGGGAGCTTGCAGAGGGGGCTGGAAGAGGGCTCTGCAGTTCTTCCATGAGAAACTGTCATTTCACAGATGAGGATGTGAATGCGACTCTTAACACATATCAGAAGCAAAAGCAGGCGCGTCAGCCTCCTACACAATTAGTCTTCTCCCTCTGCGGTTACATAAGATGATGGATTATCTGTCCACCCATCCAACCTGCCCGCGCTCGACCTCCCACTTCGGGCCACGTCCATTAACACCCGTAAAGGAGTTGTGGAAAGGGAAAGCCTGTTGAGGAGAAAGTGCCCAGAGGCTGGCATAACAGCGCCTAGAAGAGCCCTACAGTGCCACCGCGCCAAGCAAGCGCAGGGCGACCGACCGCTGCAGTCTGCAACCCCCACGCCGCCCCCGCTCCCTGTTCCCCTCACTTCAGGGTGCAGCGGACAGACTAGGTGGCAGAGCACAGCCCAGGCCCCGCACCGCTCGGTCCCTCCGGACGCCAGGGCAGACGGGCGTGCTGAGGGAGCGCGCGGGGGCTGAGCGCCGTCGGGGTGGGGGCGCCCACTCGTGCTCGGGGACTGCGCGGGCCGCGGCGGGCGTAAGGACCCTGGGCGGGCGCGGCCACCTGTGACCAACCAAAGATCGGCCCACCACACCCGCAGTCCGGGAGCCGGTGCCCTGCTCGGGCCTGAAGACTCAGGGGCGCACTCGGGGCCGCGCTGGAAACTCACCTTGTAGACATTTTCCGTGAGCCGGTGCATCTCCTCCGAGCGTGAAAGCGACATGGTCCTGGGTCCCGGCTACACCACAGACCAGAGAAGGGGCACGGGCGACGGTGAGGAAGGCGACAGCCGCAGCAACAGGAAAAGGCGCGCAGACCAGGACTACAGAGCGCGGCGCCCGGCGGCCGCAGCCTTTATAGTCGCTGAAGGCCCCACCCCATAAAGACCCCGCCCCCGGGCCCCGCCCCCGCCGCGCCCGGATCACCGCCCCCGGCTGTCCGCCCCCGCCCAACCCAGCCGCTGCTAGGCAACCGCCAGGCCCGCTCCTGCGCCGTTCTTCCCATTGGTGAGTTTCGGAGGCGGGGGCGAAGGGCGGGGATAGAGGCGGGACTCGGAGGCCGGCTGCGGGCAGCGATTGGCCGGCCGCTGGGAGGCGGAGGCGAGGCGCGCGCTGAGGCCCCGGAGCCGCCTGAGGGGGCCGGAGCGACAGCCGGGCTGGGGGCGGAAAGCGGGGGCGGGGTGGCGCAGGAAGAGCAAGCGCGGGGTGTGGGCGGCGCGGGGGACACCGGCGCTAGCGCGCGTGGAGGCGGCGCTCGGGAGGCAAGCGGTACGGGCTGCAGGCCCTCGAGGGTCCCGCAGGAGTGCGCCGGTGGCTCCCGCGCTATTGCAGGTGAGTCGGCGAGGCGTGCGTCGACCCCGACGGTCTTCCGGAAGGGAGGACTCCCGGGGCGGGAGTGGGTGGAGACGGAGGAGGGTGCTGAGCTAGAGGGAGGACCCTGAACCCTGGAGGGCAGGCTCGGGACAGGGTGGGCCATGGGGCGGGCCCTGGAGGTGGGCAGACGCTGGACGGAGGGTGGAGGGGTAGAGGTAGGCGGTTGGGTTTGGGATTCTGGGAAGAGGAGCCAGGAGAGGCGCGCGTGGGGCGTGGAGAGAATCCTCGGGGGTGGTGCGGTAGGGAACGGGGTGGAAAGCTCCGGGGGAGGAGCCTCCCCGCACAGCTTGGAGCTGCCCCGCGGCTGGTGGTTTAAGGACCGTACCGTGTAAGGCTTGGCTGAGGAAACTGACCAGGTTGGCGCACGGGGTTCCAGCACAGTTCCTTTGGAGAAATATTTACATAAATTAGACGAACATAGAGGAATTATTTGCTTTACATTGTAAAACACCAGAGCTGAATGTTTCCTTTTAATTAAACATAACACTGCAGCATCCGCTTCCTGGACAGCTGGTCACTCCGCTCCTTCAACAACCCGGCGGACGGACGCAGATCCGTGGCGCGGCTGTCAGAACTGAACTCAGACGGGTTCCTGTTCCCTTTGCTACATGTGTAAGAAGCAAAGGGAGGGATTTAGAAAGCACAGGACAGAGATTTGGTTTCCTGTTCTTTCAGCCACTGGCCCTGTGTCCTCTTTTCTTTTCTTTTTTAATTGTCTGTGTGATTTTAGTGTGTATCCCTGTGTTTCTGCTCTCTTGGGTTCTTTTGGTTACAAGTGACCGAAAGCCAGCTTAAACTGGCTGTCAGATAGGGGCCTTTATTGACTGATGCCACTGGTTGGTCAGCTTCCCTCTCCCTCCCTGTTCCTGCTGATCTAGACCAGCATGGCATAGTGTGCCGGCTCAACCCTCCTGCCACACATTGATCCCTTACTGATCTGAAGGCCAGCTGGGAACTGGTGCACAGGGAGAGAGGCAGCCCCTCACTCTTGCCCCCAGAAGATCGGGGGCCACAGAGGAGAATGAGAGGTGGACATTGGCAGCAAAAACAGGAGATCTCTCTGGGAGCCCGGGAAGTGGCTCCCCCGGGAAAATTCCCATGGCCTGGGCCACTCCCCTTCTGCAACAACCCAAGGCACTTTCCTGGGCCTGCCTACCCACAGTCACCCTGTTTCTGTCCCCGGAGCACACTCAGCATGGTGACAGACTCAAGCCAGCTGGCTTCCTGGCAGCCTCAGGCCTGTCCATGTGGCAAGAGGTTGGACATCTGCAGCAGAAGCCCACAGTGGGAAGAGGGGTGTCAGGACACCCGGGTGGAAGTGGACCTACATCCTGCCTGCAGCTCAGGGCACTGTGACCGATGGCTGGCACAAACGGGACTACTTTGGGAGTGGGGCGGGGACAGGAAAGAGACAGTCAGGACCTGTCTTTACGTCCAGCCTACAAGGACTTGTTCCTTTCAGCTCTCTGGTGGGTGATCCTAGCCTGCGTCCATATTTCAGCGGCATTCCCTGAAGCCTTTTTGACCCAGGCAGCAGCTCCTTTAATAGTAAGAACACCGACAGCCAGAGTTCAGGTTCCTGGGTGGGTAGGCACTGAGTGAGCTGGGCATCCACAGATCAGCCAAGACACTGGCTCCATGTGTGGAGTTAGTTATGAGGCCACACTTTCCCTGACTCCTTTCTTCCAAAGCCCATTACAAACCTCATCTTACACCTTTTCCCATGACATTGGTGGCCAAGGACTCTGCTTAGGTCCTAAAGGTTCGGCAGCCTGGTAGCTAGGAAACGGTGGCCCATGTGTGGGCTTACACCCACTTCCGTCCACCAGGGGCGGAGGAAACCATTGTCTTTGGCTCTTCCTGCATCTTCCCAGGAGAAATAGTGAGAAGTGCCACCCAGGGTGGCGACTGCCGGCCAACATACCCTCCCGGACCTACCGGCTGCCTCTGCTCTTCTTGTACTGTGCTGAGGTGGGAATGGGGCTCACTAGTCCAAGCTCTGGGATGGACGGGAGCAGGTTTCAGTGAATGGGCAGCTCTGGGAGAGTCTCTGGAAGCACAGACAGACAGACCAATGTCCACATGCTGCTTGCTTTCCTCCCTTGGGACTGTCGGTCTTCCCGGAGTAGCGATCTGCAGCCCTCCAGCCATAATCCACGTGTCCACTCCCCTGAGCACTAGCCTTCCATTCTCTGCATGGGTAATGCTGAGCCCAGGGTCCACGGCAGGAATAACCTCTGATCCACAGTGCTGCAGGTCACTGGTTCAGGGTGGGCAGCAGTAGAGACGGGCTGGGGGTGGGGAGCGCCCGTGTGTATGTCTCCACAAGCTTATTTTTAGTTGCGTTATATAAGTGGCTTCATCTCGGCGTCATGTAGGAAGGGGGGGGTCTCAGATTTAATTACAGGATGACAGCCTTTGCATTTCAAGCAAGCTGTTCTCCTGGCAAGGCAGGCACACGGATTGGGAGTCTTTGCTCAGCAGAAGCTGCCCTTCGGGAAGTGACCCCCAGCAGACTGTCACCCCACCTTCACCTCCATCCTCAGCCACTTTGCTGAGCTCGGCTTAAGAGGGTAGCCATTATCTAAGGTCTCCAAGTTGGTGGGAGAGCTGTGCCTGTTAAGGGAGAGCTCTCCACCACCCACCCCACCCCACCCCACCCCACCCGGCAGCTTTTCTTCTCTCCAGGGGAAGGCTTCTGTTTTCATTCCCAGACTCAAGCTTTTGTAATAGGTAACCAGAAAGTTCTAGTAGGAGGGACCGAAAGGCACAGGAGCCTCTGGGCCTTCGGGAAAACCCTGCCTTTTCCCTCCTGCTTCACCCTGGTCGCCCATGTTGACTGCTTCACCCTGGTCGCCCATGTTGACTGCTTGGCAGGTGCCTGCGCCAGGCCAGAGGGCAGAAGCATTCTTGGGGGGGGGGCGTACTGCTCTGGTTTCAGGACACTCTGAATGGCTAGCCAGCTCAGTGGCTAGAACAGCAAGAATGTGCTGGGAACTCCAGGTGGAAGGCTCGTTCCTATCGGCAGGAAGTCTATTTCAGCTGCCATCAGCCACTTGGGTTTCGTCTGGCCTTCAAGGCATAGCCTGCCACACTGGAGGGGGACAGGTTGAGACCTGACCTTGGCAGGCTCAGGGTGCAGTGTGAGGAGAAGGCCCGGGTGTAAGGAAGCCAGTCGAGTAACCAGTCAGTTTGCAAGGTAGGGCGACACTATGTGGCTCTGGGCAGGTCCCCTAGCCTCCCTGAGCCCCCAGAGCAGAGATTAGGGTGTGCTGAGCAGTGTTGGGAGGGGTTGGGGAATGTGGAGCCATGTGGAAGATCCACCACACTTTAGAGGCTGGCACTGCCCTGAACAGAGCACCTTCCTCCTCAGTTTTCCCTCCCAAGCCTAGCAGAGACAGTACGGTAGACCCCTGACCCCTGACCCTGACCAGTGTTCCGCATGCTGCCGTGTCCCCCATCATGACTGAAGGCAGAGAGACTGCAGCCCAGGGGAGCCTGAGGAGACAGGAAGACTGAACGTCCCCTGGAGGCCTGCTGGGTCCTGGACAGGAAGAGGACACTGGAATCTGGAGAATTCTGAATGAACTGTGGGCTTTAGTTAATGATATGTCAGCACTGGCTCCTGAACCGTAGTAAATGCATCCCACTAAGGCAACACACTAACTACAGTAGCTGGGGGTGGACACAGGGCCAGACTCAGGATGTCTGAGGCCTGGGCTTGGTCCCTGGTACCACTCCAAGGAAGAAAAAAAGAGAAGGACGTGGAGTATCTTTGCTCTGAATGAGGAAATGTAGAGCAAAGGACCTTGCGGGGCCCTGGGCTACAGGTCAGAGGGTGCTGGGAGCTGGCCCTGGATAGGGCCCATCTTGCCTTGCTAGCTAGCCCTGAAGTCTGTGGAGCAGTTCATCTCTCTTGCTCTCCCGGATGTTGGTGCTCCCCTCCTTCCTCCCAGACTGCACCTCAGCTTTACTCCTAACCTGACTGATTCAGAGCTTGCTTCTCCTTAGCCGCCACGTGTGTCCTGCTTCCTGCTGGAGGAGGCAGATCAGCCCTGCACACCTGGCTGGAAAGAAGGGACCAGGCAGGGCACTCGCCTGGTGGATGGGGGTGTGAGCATGGTCTTTTGGTTTTCCAGAATGTTACCTGACCCTGCCTCTGTCTGCTCAGACTGTGACCTCCCACAGAGCCTCCCCTGCAGGCAGGCCCAGGAAGGCAGAGCCTTTCTGCCAAGGGTAGAGATGTGGGAAATGTGCCCTCCCGTCGTGCCCTGTCGCCCTGGTATGGGGGTAGCTTCCCCAGCAACCCTCCCCCTTATGTAATCTGCACATCACATCGGCATGACTCCAGGTGCCTGTGGGAGGCAGCGCGGGGGTGAGCGCAGGGGCGCAAACAAGCCTCGAAGTTTCCTTGGGTGCTTCTCCTCTTGTTACATTTCAGCGTCATTCTGCGTCTGCCAGCTCGGTCACCCACTTGCCTATTAGAATACATTAACTGACAATGCAGACTTAAATAACTTGGGCAGGTGACAGGCTGCAGTGGAGCCCTCTGCACCGAACCCTTGTGCAGCTGCAGCCTGCAGTCCAAGCGTACACAAGACCAGGCTTAAGAGTGCTGGGATACGGGTGCCCCTGGCAACATGGAAAGCACACCCCATGTCAGGCACGCACGCCCCTTCCTCCTGTGCATACCCAGCTTGTGGTGGGGTTGTGCCATCAGTGGGTGAGTAAGAAAACTGAAAAAGTGGTATACCTGTCGTCAGAGCGAGACCACTCCGTGAAGACAGCGCTAGCAGCAGCAGCAGCCTAGCACAGGCAGACCTGGCTGTGCCCGCCTGCTCCATAGGCCAGAGTGGTCCCTTGTCTTCCCTGGGGAAAGGTGAAAGCCAAACCTTGCTTCCTGCTCATTGCACTGATTCGCTTATCCCCAAACAAAACATCCCCTTTGTTTTTCTTATTGCTCTGCCTCTTAAATTAAGTTGCCTCGAACAGGTCTAAAGGTGTTTTCCGGTTGTGGCAGAGGAAATTGTTTTCCAGACCCTGAAGTCAAAAGACACCCAACCCCGAGCCCCGGTGTGTTCCTCCAGGTCCTTCCCCACTGCACCGCCGCCGTCCCCAGCTGGTCCTGCCAGAGTGAGAAGCCCAGACATGTACACGCTGCTTCTCATGCTCACAGATGGCTTCCCTGCCCAGGGCTGGCTGCTGCTAATTTCGGCTGCTGGAGGCTCCGTGTGTGCTCTCTCTTTTTTTAATTCCATGTTTATTTAAAGCTAGATTTTGAAGTCTTGTCTTCAACTCTGAAATCTGAAATTTTCTTGCAGCAGAGCCCCCCCCCCCCCACACACACACACACAGAGGACACAGAGTGTAGGGAGGCTTGAACAACTGGCCAGGGCCCCTCACAGCAACCCTGTTGCTGTTGCGTCAGCTCAGGAGATCCCTTGAACATGCTTGGTGTTTCCATGTAAACGGGGAAGCCGTGTGGAGTGTCTGATCAGAGGCCAGAGGCTCCCCTGCCGCCTGGTGCTGCAGGAGGAGCGGACTGGGACAGCGGTGACTCATCTTACCCACAGCCCTGCAGCAGAGCCTGGGGTGGCCCAGGTATCTAGGACCAGTGCCAATCCCCCAGTCGTCTCTCGGGCTTTCAGAGCTCCCCTTACCCATGAAAGCCACCTACAGGCTCTTCCTGCTTTCTGGGACATCAAGTCCACCTAGAAGGGCTCTTCCTGGTTAGGGTTCAGTAGAGGATGCGAGTCCCGCTGGCTGGTATGTTGACACAACACTGTCCTGCTCTCAGGCAGACACTGCCCATGTCTTATCTACCCAGTGTCATGATACACACAGTGGAACTCTGCCCTGACTCTGGGACCTAGAAGACTAACCCTGGCATGGTGCATGCTTTAGAGACAGATGAACCCATTGCATGACACACAGACAGCTACCCTGAAATGTGCTAGAAGGGCTTTGGTGAAAAAGGAACACTCTTGAGGGAACTGGTCAAGGGCTGAGGTGGCACCAGCTCCAGGAGGAAGGTGTGCACCTAGGGAAGCCACAGGGAGCTCTAAGACATTGGCCAAGTTCCCGTACCCACCTCTGCCTCTTCGCCACCAGGCCAAGAGAGGAAAGGGTGCTGCTTTCACCCAGAGCCATCTGCAGACCCTGCCAGGGAGTTTCTAACAGGACCGTGTGAAGGCCTGGGGTGGTGTTCCTGGCACGTCTGGTCAGGAGGACTGTGAGACAGACACTGCCGGGGTGTGGAGCTTGGGAATGTCCTGTCTCCAGCAGGCTCGATTCTTCTCTCAGGGTCGGAGACAGAGCTCTAAGAGGATTGTAGAAAACTGGCTGTTGCCTGTCCGGATGAAAGGAATACTCTGTCCCTGCCAGTATGGCTCTAAAAGGATATGCGTGACATTTCACCCCCTGTCCACCCAAAGGTCGGCTGTACGACCTTTCCAAATGTCACTCTGCAGCCACTGCTGGCAGAGACATGGAGCTGCCAAAGCGCTGTGGACTCTGCTAACTCCCACCCTAAGCTGGAGGGGTTTTCTGCAGAGCCAACAAAACCCTTTGTACACCGCTTGAGGAGTTGGCTTTCTGAGCCTTGGAGCTGGTATCGGTGAACTTGGTGGTGGTTCCCTGCCTGCCTGGGCTCCCAGAGTTCCCAAGGAGAAAACCCTATATTCTAGATTCCAGAGGCTTAAACAGGACACAGGCCCAGAGCTCTAGAACCCTGAAGTTGAACTGTGTTACCTGGCAGTTTACACACACACGCGCACACACACTGAGCACTGTGTCCACTGTTGCTGTTGGCATTGAGAGCAGATGGAGCAGAGCCTGTTCGACTGAAGCTTCTGGGATCCTTGCTGAGGAATCCCTGAATGTCTCCATCCTTCTGAAGGTTCCCTTCACTGCCCCCTGGTGGGAAGTCAAAGAAAGGAGCCTTGGCATGGAGCGGGTGAGAGAGGCTGGCAGAAGTTGAGGGCATCACAGGAGGCTACAGGCTCACGGGTGGGTGGCTAGCAGGTGCAGTGCAAGGTTTCGGGATTTGTGAGACCAGGCTGCACCTAGGAGGTGAGTGACCTGGGCAATCACAGACCCTTGGCTTGCCCTGTCTCCAGAGGATCACTAAACCCTCCCTTCAGGCTGAGGAGAAAGGAAGCGTGCAGCTGTGCCCCAGCCTGTAGAGGGGACATGGGAGCAGCTCGTGCCCTTATGAATCTGGTGCTTCTGGGAAATACTGTTCATGCTCTTTTCTCAGGACCCAGTGACATCTTCTATTAGAGAGGTAAATCACCTAACACTAATAAACCTCTTAAGGTGTTCAGTTCTGTGCCTTTGAGTGGCAGGCAGGGTGTTTATAGCCTGTTCCCACCACCATCTGTCTACCAAGTTCAAAATCATTTTTCTTCTTTTCCCTTGGGGTTTTGTTTTTGCTGGTTTGCGTTTGGGTTGGTTGGTTGTCCCCTCGTTTTTGAGATAGGGTCTCATGTAGTTGAACTTCCCGATGCCCCTGTTGCCGCCTCCCAGGCTCCAGGAGTGGGTGCTGGGATCGAAGATGGAGCACACTTACACAGTGCGGGCCGAGCCTGGCCTGCTGAGCAGCATGGACAAGCGCGCTCCTAGCTGAGCCTCGTCCTCAGCCCAGAACTGATCGCTGTGGTAACTGTACTTAACTTGCAAGGAGCTGGCTGCCTTTTTACACTCTTCAGGGATCCAAGAGGCTGCCAGGTTCCCTCTGTCCTCATCAACACACCTCTCCCCCTGTTGTTTTAGACCATAACCACCCTGGTGTGCAGGAGTGGAGCCATTGATTTCCTTACCACTTCCCTGGTGGCTGATGAGAGGCCTGTCAGCCTCTCCTCCCCCCGGGTCTCCTTTGTTGTTGATTTTACCCCATTGAGAACTTCATACATGAGCATGCATCTACATGACTCCTAGTGCACACCCCAACTCCATTATGTATACAGTGTTCTGACTACAGGCCAGAAGAGGGAACCAGATCTCATTACAGATGGTTGTGAGCCACCATGTGGTTGCTGGGAATTAAACTCAGGGCCTCTGGAAGAGCAGTCAGTGTTCTTAACCTCTGAGCCATCTCTCCAGCCCCGATCTCTTCTTTAATTACTGTCACCCATATATTTAATGTGTGTATATACATATGTGCACACACATAGAACTAACCCACTGAGTCCATTTAGCTTTGATTCTGTGTGCGTATGTCCAGGGCTGACCACTTGGGACTGGACAAGAGTCCTCTCTTTTTGTTTTGTTTTGTTTTTCGAGACAGGGTTTCTCTGTGTAGCTTTGCGCCTTTCCTGGAACTCACTTTAGATACCAGGCTAGCCTTGAACTCACAGAGATCTACCTGCCTCTGCCTCCGAGTGCTGGGATTAAAGGCGTAGGCCACCACCGCCCGGCGAGTCTTTTTTTAAACAGGAGCCACAGCCTTCGCTCCAGCGCTTCATGTGGGAGGGAGCTTGCAGGTGCCTCGGGACAACCAGCTTGCACCTGACCTCAGCTCAAAACCTGGTGAAGCATGGCAGATGCCCACTGACATAGCCATATGATTTGGGTGGGGAAAAGTCCCCACCTGCTCCTTACAGACACTTGTGAGAGCTCAGGTTAGCATGGACAGGGCTGAGAGGCAGCAGCCAGGGAGCCGGGTCATTCCCTGCCAGGTGACAGCACCCCGGAACTGAGGAATGGAGTAGCTGAGCCTTACTCACTGGGTGCTGGAAGGAGAAGAGTGGCCCTGGACGGGGTGGGCCCCCCCAGGCACCAGCCTGAGGGTGGAGTAGTCGATAGCCTCTTCCCAATAGGAGTGGGCATCAGGGAGAGGCCCAGAAAACAGAGCTGCAGCCTCCAGTCCTGCATGAGGACGGCAGTTTCAGCAGAAGCAGAGCAGCAGCCCAGTGTCACCCTCACACCAGAGCCACTACTCCCCTGGGGCTGCTGCTGTCACCACACCCTGCACACAACCCCTCCGCCTGGTTGTTCCTATAAGCAAGGGAGCTTTGCCTGGGTTGCCTCCAGGGGACTCCGCTGACTCCCACTTCAGTGGAGGTCAGAGGACAACTTGCGTGAGTTGATTCTCTCCTAGCACTGGGTCTCAAGCGTAGAACTAAGGCCTCAGGCCTAACAGCAAGTACCTCCACCACTTACCTGTCTCACAGGCCTAGTGGAAGGACCGAACCCAGGGCCTTGCGTTTGCTAGGCAAGCGCTCTACCACTGAGCTAAATCCCCAACCCATGTGTTTGTCTGAGACAAGGTCTCTGTGTGGCTCTGGCTGTCCTAGAACTCAATCTGTAGACCGTGCTAGCCTTGAACTCAGAGATCCACACCTGCCTCTGCCTCTAGTGCTGGAATTAAAGGTGTGCACCACCACGCCCAACCCAGTCTCCACTCTCATCCTGTCAAAAGTCCCTGAGCTCTTGAGCTAAAATGAGGACAGTATCAACTATTTTTAAACAGTTATCACAAAAGTGAGCAAGGGTGATGGCACTCAGAGGCTGAGCGGCAGGGTGCTGGGCTGCTGCCCTGGCAGAGATGCTGTCCCTGCAAAGCTGTGGTGACTGCAGGGATGTGGCTCAGGCAGTCATTCCTGAGAACTCGTCAGCTTTGGGGGAAGGGAATGCCTGTGGCCAGCTCCGGCCAAGGTGAGGGAGTTTCCACCCTCCCTCCCTCCCTCCCAGTTCCAGCACCAAGGCCCCAAGGCCTCAGGCCACACTGAGCCACAACAGCAGCTGCACTCCTAGGTGACCAGGTCTGAGTCACCAGCTGTGAGCTCAGACTTGTCACCAGCAGAGCTTACAGTGTGCAGCCTTAAATTTGCAGTTCCGAGTCTGCTCTCAGCTGAAAATCGCTGTTATCACTGCAGCTTCCATCCTCCGTCCGGTATTCCCAGGGCTGATTGTCACGGGATAAACTGGTGACACGAAGCCAGGGGCCCCCACATTGCAGCCTCTGGGTCACTACAGGTCTTTACAAAGTTGTATTTGTGGGTTGTTGTTTTTGTTTGTTTGTTTGTTTTGCTTTTTCCAGACAGGCTTTCTCTGTAGTTTTGGTACCTGTCCTGGATCTCGCTCTGTAGACCAGGCTGTCCTTGAACTCACAGAGATCTGCCTGGCTCTGTCT